ACAACTCAGGCATTTCGACATTTGTAGGTATTTACACCATTGCATTTTTTCTTATTTTTTTCTTATATTATCTATCGTTTTAGATATTACATTGGCTACATGGGATATCTCACAACATATATAATGGAATGGCACGTCTCTAAAGAGGCGTCAGTGTCAGACTGTTCCATAGATAGATTATGTAGACGTCAAAGTGTATAGACATAGAAACAAAGACGTATAGGAACCCTACGTTGACGAACTGGGCTTTATACAACGAAGAACTGGAAGACAGACTGGGGACCTCCGTACAGTCGATACTAATAGAATATAGATCGACAGAAGACATAGAGAAAACTTTGATCATTACCAGCGACTCTCTAATGTCAGCTTATAAGAAAAGTTGCTCTCTAAAGAAGAAAGGCCTGGGTGAACGTGTACCATGGTGTGATTGAAGTAGGCTCAGCCTACTTCAATCAGGGTTAAGAAAACTTTTCAATAGAGCTAAAAACACAAAGAAAACTGAAGACTGGGAAGCCTATAAAGAGCACCGGAAAGAGTTTAAGAAAGAATTAACAAAGAAGAAACGGGAAACGTGGAGATCCTTCTGCAGCGACATAACGTCGACTGAAGAGAGTTCTCTCGAAGGACTACACACATCAAGCAGATTTCCTAAAGAAAGAAGATGACACTTTCACCTTAGAAGAGTCCGCAGATCTTTTGCTGCAGACTATGTTTCCAGGCAGAACAAAGACTACCTCCCATTCCAAAAGGGATGTATCCGGTACTCAACCTTCCTCGAAGGATTGGGCGCTGGTGGCAAAGGTAGTCACGGAGGCAAGACTGGAGTGGGCAGTTGACAGTTTTCCCCCATATAAATCTCCGAGAGGGGACGGTAGAGATGGATATCCCGCCCTCCTGTAGAGGGTGTTGTGTTAGCAGGCTGGGGGGAAGAAAAACAATGTAACAAGTGCATTTGTTACGAGTGCACGTGCAACCCCAAAAAGGTCATTGTCGCGAGCTGATTTGTCTCGGCTGTCCATCATGGGTCGAAATTCTTGTTAACGACCCCTTAAAAATCACTTCTTCCAAACATTCCCAGAAAATCCCAACAAATAGATCCATATACTTCCTTTGTCCCATCTAGCTATATCCCGTCCTCTCTGCATGTGGCACTGGACCCTCGGGTTAACTTTATAGTACCACATGTCCAATCTTTTCCGAAGGAGTCGTTAAAAAAGTAAATTGAGTTTCAAGCGTGCCTAGCCCTTTTGTCGAATTTCAAGAAACGGCCCAGTTTTATAGCGACCATGATGGATGGGGACAGAGGCAGAGAAGGGCTTTGTTTGAGAGATTCCGTTATCGAAATGGCGTGATGCGATTCCTCACTTTGTAAATAATTGTGTACAGATGTTTTGAGAAAACAAAAGGTTGGAAAGTCGGATGGATGACGGACATAGATCTAGCCTACCACAGGTGGAATAAAGTTTGCGGTTCCACCTGTGAGAAACAGCCGAGTCATAAGTAAAAGAACGTTTGATGGGTTCGAGATCTATGTCTGGCTATCCTAGTTAAGTCGCGAGCCAGTGGCCACTCCAAAAAGCTGTTCGATAGGTTATTTCATACTGTAATTGCTATTGTTAGGGAATTTTTGATAAGAATTTGTCAATCGACAGCGATTTGAGCGGTTTTGCTGGTATAGACGAGAGAGAACGAGAAAGCACTTCTTTCCAACACAGGGGACTTCATCCCATTGGTTTTTCTTTGTTAGCTCTTTGACGTCGGGTGGAGTCTCCACTCTTGGCGAAATTATAAAAGAGTAGTTTAGTCAATTTTTGTCAGTTCTCTGGCCGGGATTTTGTAGTGTGCAACTCGTTCCTTCTCGTCGCGTTCTTTGTTTTAAATTTTGCTTCAAAGTGTCTTAGTATTCATTTTTGCTCAGTGTTAAATTTTTATTTGCTTTATTTTCTAAATTTGTGGAAGTCACCGCGAGCGGTGATCCACTTGTTCATTTTGGTTTTCTTGTGTAAATTTTTGATCAATTCATTAGTGTGTAAATAAATAAGGGTGACCGATTTTCAACTACGTTGGACTTTCTTTTTGCGGACTTTGCGGCCAACCCTTCCGTTAAAAAAATAGTGCATTGAAACAGCGGTACTAGTGAGTGACTCCGTGCCCTCGAGCAGCGAAAAGGGAAGTTTCGAAAGGTAAGAGAATTCCCATTTTTCTGTAATGTGTGATTAACACTTCTCAGGTAGAAGACCAGATAAAAACACGCTACCCGATTAAAGATAATTTAATTTTTCAAAATATTATTTTTTTTTATATAACTCACGCCCCAGCCTTGTTAGGCTGGTTACAACAACAAGTGAATAGAATAACAAGACGAATTGTGAGAGTTGTCAATAAATACATTTTTTCTCTTCCAGCTTATCATTCCGTCCCGATATGGACATATATCGCTCAAACCGCTTTCTCCATTGGGGCCAAGTATTAGGCATAGAAAATGTAAATTTTTCTGGTGGACTAACATGAGCTTGCATACCCATCGCCGGACTATGCGTTACCTTTACCGGATTAGGTGTTCCTTCCGGTCCAGTCATGATCTATGTAATTTCAAATCACTATTTATATCTTCTCTGCTATTTCTTCGTATGATTTTAACGAATATACGGTCTTTTCACCGCTGCCACCATGTTTTATCAGTAAAAGATCTTGTTAAGAGAAAAAATGTATTTATTAACAACTCTCACAATTCGTCTTGTTATAGGGGAATGACGGACTACCCCCTATCTTGGTGCCAATGCTTCGGGCGTGTGTGGCTTTCAGCTACATACCGAATGCATGGCGAAAAGTAAAGGTTATCTTTATACTTAAGCCAGGACGACAAGATTATACCTTGGCTAAATCCTGTATACCATTAGCTTGACAACATTCTTGTTGAAAACGCTAGATAGACTAAGCGAAAAAGAGATTCGGGCGACCGCTTTGAGCAAGCAACGTCTACGTACATCCGGACCAACGTGTCTACATCCAAGGAACATCCACGGATGCGGCCTTACACACAGTTGTAAACCGTATAGAGTGAACGATGGAGAACTTTTCACCTTAGGAATGTTCTTGGATATTGAAGGAGTGTTCGATAAATCGACCTTTAAAAGCATAGGACTAGCCCTACAAGAACACCACGTGAATTCCACCCTGAGTGGGTGGGTGACTGGTATGTTGAGGATTGAGGAATAGGGAAGTACTCATTAATGTAGGTGGCACTGAGATCGAGGCTGTTGTAGACAGGGGATATCCTCAGGGAGGAGCACTCTCTTCTGTACTGTGGAATACTGAAGTTGACAGCCCGATACGACCCCTCAATGATCTTGGCAACCACACAATTGGAAACGCAGATGATCTAGTCATTTTGCTAACAGGAAAAAACGCAGATACATTATGTGAAATAACACAAGCTGCAATAACAATGGCCGAGGAATGGTGCAGCAGGCATAACCTCACCCGTAAATCACTAGGAAAAGGAAAATTGGCACACTCCAGACACCACAAATATTTAACACAACGTTTCAATTTTCGGACGAAGTAAAATACCTGGGAGTTGTATTGGACTGGCGACTGAGTTGGAAGAAGCATGTAGATGATAAAGTGGAAAAAAATTCGGAGGCTTCCACGGTCGGAATCAATACATGATCGTTTTCTGGATTGGAACCGTTTTAATTGAGTTTATGGGCTCAACGTTTCGCACACTTTCGTACGTGGCATCTTCAGGAGCAGGGTTAAGAATAAAGCAAAAGAGCACGGTAACTCAGTATGTCAACCATACCAGAGGCGAAACTTTTTGACGGGAAGAATTTGGTTACCACGTGTATAAATAGACCGTAACCAAATTCTTCCCGTAGAACTTGTACAGCGACACCAGTCTCACTTTCAAGGGACAAATTACGTAAACTGGTAGGGTTTCTTACGGGACATTACTAGTTTAACAAACATCTACATACGATAGGAGTGGTAACAGACCCGATCTGTCGTGGATGCAATGAAGAAGAGGAAACAGCTGAGCACATTATTCGTGAGTGTCCATACTAGGGGACATCTGGCCTAGTATAGCAAAAATCAGGGAGTTTCCACCCTCTGCATTACTCAAGTACAAGACTCCCATAAAATTAGAAATCCAGAAATCCAGAATCTATTGTTTTCATAATAAAGGGTTTTCTATCCAACCCCGTTGCAAATCTCGATGAATCCTCAGATTAATCATCCTAGTCCTATTTTATTCTTACTCTTCATAAACGATATAACTTTATCACTTAACTCTACAGCCGCAGAGTGGTATACTAATAGTAACATGATACCAAACACTGAAAAATTTGAATTTTCTAAGAAAGAGTGGAAAACTACGTTCTATTTACTATGTCAATAATAAGCTCATAGAGAAAGTTAACGAAATCGAAGTTTTAGCTGTCATTTTCAGTGCAGAACTTTGTTTTAACAATCATATTGATTGTTTTATTGCTCGGCTGCTGTTTGTACGCTGTTTATTACCTTGGCGTGACCTTTACATGGTTTCCTTTTTACGAAAACCTCCTAACCCGGTTAGAAAGCGAACTAATTACACGTACAATCAAAGATTTGTATTGGCCGAGCTAGACTTTCTAAAATACGGCACAACAACAGTCTTGGGTTTCCTGTCAAACTGTTTATAATCATACTGATTGCACAGAATTTTTATCGGTTTGTAATTTCAGAGCACGTCTATCGTTATGTGTAGAAATCATGATATATTTTTGGATCCCTTTAAGGTGCCTAACCTTACACTCCTATTATTAAAAAAAATGTGCTAACGGTAAATAATTTAGTTAGCTTTGACTTACTTACGGTTGTTTTTAATATTTATTGGTCTCTTTTGGGACGTTTGTTAGTATATGTAATAATAAATTTTACGTTAAATGTACATATTATATTTTCTACATTTGTGTTTTGATAACAAAAATATTTATGTTTTTAACTGGCAGACTTATTAATAATTACATACACATTTTTTATTTATTTTAATCGTCTTGTCTTAACGATCGCCTTGTAAAAATTCGCTGAATCTTTTGGGATTCTGGTACGGTTAGGGTCAGTAAAATTAATTGCATACAAACCAAACTTTGCACTGAAAAAGATAAACATTCAAAATTACAAAAAAATAAGTGTAGCTTGCCCTACTTACCTGTACCCTTGGTTCCATTCAAAGTTATCGAGTAAGCTCCAGACCGTGTAACCTTGTATGTCGACACGATCGTCATAGACGGCTTGCAACAAATATTTTAAATATTCCTAAAACTTTGATTTAAATGTATTGAAACGAATTATCTTATTGTACCTTGTAAAAAATGGTTCTGTTAAAGTCGTGCAGTATTAGTTTCGGGTCTGAGTACCCATTTTCTGTAATTATAATACTAGGATTATTGTAATTTTTTTTAATCCATTTGCACATATCCCTTATCCCATATGGAACAACCTAGAATGTGGATTTTTGTTATTGTGAAAAGCACGAAAGTTTCCTTTACTTTCAGCCAAGCTGAGCCAGAACTTTTCCAGGAATCTTTATAATATTCTTCAACAGATAAATCATTAAATGCGCTTGGTTCTCCTATTTGAACATCGTCCATCCATTTTACCATGGTTGTTGTGTAGTGATTGACACCAATAAAATCATAAGTATCTTTTATTTGTCTCACTTCTTCGTTAGTAAATTTGGGCAGACGTGATTTTTTAAATCCCTCTTTCGTACTTCTTTCTCCAATTCGATTAATCATCACTTGAGGATAATTTCCTTTTATAATGGGATGTGCAAACCATCCAAACTAAAGAAAAACAAATTTGAATATGAATGTCTGAACTATTTAATATTTACTTGAAACTGTAAGTTTCGTTCTGCTGCTTCAAAGTCTTTGCGAGTATAAGTGCTAGGTTTAGCCCATATGGCGGTAAGTACAATCGATATTTTGCCTAGAAGTTTCGATTAAACTTTTAAATATAATTAAAATAAGCTTACCTTTCTGTTTTTTCCGGTAGGTTTTGTCATATATATCATAAGCCGCCGCATGAGATTTTAAAATATTATGACCACAAACGTAGACGTCGACACCACGATTACTAGCGAGACCTGGTGCATATGTTCCATTTTCATAACCATATTGACAAAATATGTAAGGTTCATTAAACGTCGTCCAGTACTTTACTCGCTCTCCGAAAATATGGAAAGCTAAATCTGCATATTTTGCAAAAATATCCACAATGGTCTCGTTTAACCACCCACCCATTCTTTCGTGAAGATGCTGAGGTAAGTCCCAATGATATAACGTGACCATTGCTTCGATACCGTTTTGGTCCAATAAATTTAAAATATTGTTGTAGTATTCAACACCTGCTTGATTAACTCCATCGTCAACGTAACCAGTTGGTAAAATTCTAGGCCACGATAGTGAAAATCTGTAAAAGTCGACTCCAAGTTCTTTGAGTAAAGCTATATCAGTTTCATATTTGTGATACGAATCGCAAGCTACATCGGCGTTGGAGTGGTCGAATATTTTGTCTGATGATGTATGTGTAAAGTGGTCCCAGATATTTTCTCCTTTGCCATCTTCGTTCCATGCTCCTTCAATTTGGTATGACGCCGTTGCTATTCCAAATTTAAAATCGGGAGGAAATTCTTGGGCATTTACTTTGTGTGTGAAAGCACTGTTTACACTTTATTGATGCATACAGTTACTAAGAAGTTCTATACTTACAGAATGAAATTGAATAAGGTCATTATTAAAACTGCCGTTGCGAAGCACATGGTAGTTACGAAGTTACACGGTCCTGAGAGAAAAAAAGCGATACAAGCGAATGCAAAAGAACACACACAATATGTAGAACTATTTTACAAAAGAGATTTTAGAAACGTAGATGTATTAATTTCCACCAAGAAGTGCTGTCATTCCGAAAAACTGCTTTTAATAAGTTTTTGTTTTAGACTTAACTTAGCAGCGCAACTTTCTTCTATGTAATATTTCTGGTGTAACATTGGCGTAGAAACTTAAACTTACACTCCAATATTTATGCAAATTAAAGTATTACGTGCAAGTATAAACTGTGATAACGAAATTACTTGTTGTAGTCATAATGTTTGACGTTAACTGTTATATTTATAATTTAGTTTTAAAGTCTAGTAACGTCATAATTATAATTTATATTGTGGGCTAAGTTAAGTGAACTGTAACATTTCTTCAATCAGAAAAAAAACTCTCCGTGATTTGTTTTAATTTACATCTATTTAACTTAAATTGGAAAGTTCAATACAGGGTGAGTATTATAATTTTATTTTTATTTTATTTTATTGAATTACGTTCCCCTACAGGCCGGAGGCCCAATGGGGTTATACACTACTTTTTTATTATCATTCTTTTGCAATCTTTAGACCAAATAACGATATTTGTACATATTATTTTAGCTAAATCCGAAAAGTAAAGTAATATTAAAAAAAATCAAATCTCATGACTAGACCAACATTTTCAAAAGACTCGTCAATCCCCACCTTTCTGTGACGTCAGCACTCCTGGGTAGGCGTGTCCCTTTTTTTCGAGTGCTGCCGGTTGCCGTTTCACGATATAAGGTTATGTTGGCTTTTTTAAACAACACTTTATCAGGATTTTTGTGAATTGTGATATTAGTCAAGTTGAAGTGCTTTGTTTTTTATTTAGACTGTCAGTTACAAAAGTTGCTCCACGTTGGCCACCAACGAGGAAATTTCACGAATTTTGTGCAACTTTGCTGGCTCTAAATATTTATTTGAATTTTTTTGGCTTGGATCGTTGATGCTCAGCAAGAACCACGGGAAGGTCTGGAGTAGGTCTTGCCAGGAAAGGAGAAGGCTAGGATTTGTTAATGAGGGATAGACCGTTATACAGTACAATAAAATACAATACAAATAACATATACAATATACAATACAATACATCAGACAAAATACAGCAGTACAGATACAGATATAATACAGTTGCATAGTTAGTACCTAAGCACATACACAACCTGAAGAAATCTTTAGCATCAAAATCTGCGACCCATTTTAAGCAAAGAGATACCTGCATGTTGCAAAATGAATATCCCAGCAAGCACACCGATGGAATTCGGACGAAAACTATAGGATCGGGGTATTCCCACGCCCAAGGGAAGAACGCAGCCGCATAAATCCAAGGTCGACTGACCTCATCCTCACTGAATGATGCGACCCAGCGTCTAAGGGCTAACAGAACGCCCCCCCCCCCAGGCCAAGGGCGTCTGACGATATGGAGTATTCAGGCTCGGAACCAAAGGATGCATTGTTGCAACATTAATACCCAAGCAAATATATGACGAAAACCCACAAAGCATTTACACCACTAGAGGTAAATTAGCTAGACCCACTGTTGCGAAGATAAGTTAGTAATACATACAATATACAGTACAATATGCTTCAATTACAAAAATTACAACATACACACTGCTCCACATTTGCCGCCAAAGAGCGATGACTGTGCTCGCCCGTTGCTGTTGCCCGGCAAGAACCAAACAATACGAGGGGGTCTGAAGCGCGTCTTGCCGTGGAAAGAGAGGATTAGGGGTTGCTGACATGGCTGAAGGACACTGCATTTTGTAAATTATGAACGCCGTACTTTATATACACTTTAAAAATGATGGATTTGATGGATATTTTTAACGTAAATTAAAACAAAAATCGCGAATTTTTGGAAAAATGTCCTTCGTGTCCACAGCACTAACGCAATATACAATAAACTAGAAATTCGCCAAAATGCGTTACTTTTACACCAAAAGACACACCGAAGTTGTCGCCATTATCCAAATCAAAACTGAACACAAACGACCGACAAATGCCATGTTTGCTCAGGCAGCGCACGTGACAGTGACGTCATCGTACGTCACGATGAGACTGCAAAAATTATTTTTGATATTTTAGCCTGGAAATTGCACATTTCGGAGTTAATTTAACAATGTTTAAACAAATTGAATTGTTTATAATAACTTCATGCTTCTAGGAAAACAGTTTTTGGTTTAATTATGACATATTAATACTTATCACATTTAAACAGTATAAATAATATTAATTATGTTTAAATATTGTTTACTGTGTCATGATAATTTATATTTTTTTATATTTGTCGATAATAAGAATCACGGGCCCCGATAAATTAAAACTCAAGTCGTACTTACTCCGTTTTCGGCATTTTTTGGAAAAATATCTACTTTCCTTCATGTTCACAGCAGCAACGAAAAATATTTTCTCTATTATTTATTAACAACAAATTAGAAATTCGCAAACACGTACTACTTTTAAGCCAAAACGGAGCTCCAAATGCTACGATGTTGCTGCCACCAGACCGACATCAAAACTGGACACAAAGGACCGAAAAACGCGACCTTTGCTCAGGTAGCTCACGTGACAGTGACGTCATCGTTCGTCACGATGAGATTGCAAAAATTATGTTTCATATTTTGGTTTGGAAGTTGCACATTTTTGGGGTTAATTTAACAATGTTTAAACAAAGTGAATTGTTTTTAATAGCTTCATGTTTGTAGGAAAATGGTATCCGGTTTAATTATGACATATTCATACTTAACATATTTAAACAGTATAAATAATATTAATTATGTTTAAATATTGTTTACTGTGTCATGATAATTTATAATTTTTTTATTTTGTCGAATATACGGGTCACGGAGCCCGACAAATTAAAACTCAAATCGGACTTACTCCGTTTTCAGGTTTTTTTGGAAAAATATACACTTTCCTTCATGTTCACAGCACTAATGCAAAACATTTTCACTAGTATTTATCAACAATAAATTAGAAATTCGCGAAAATGAAAAAAATGAAATCAAGCAAGATTTTTACCAAAACTAAAATACTAAATGTGCGCTGTTGTCATATGTCTAATGAGTAAATTTTAAAGGACCCGGTAAACTTGCAAAGTTTTAGTTGCCTGATAAACTACGACGATATAAATAGAAGGACCTCTAAAAATTAAAATTTTAACGGCCTTTAAATTTTAATAGATAAGATACAGAACGGACCCCTATTAGAGTTAAATATTACAATAATTGTGTTTACGTCTTCTCATTGGAACTAGGGAGTAGTAGAACGTATACAAAACTCACTTAACATATACCTTGTAAAACTTTTATGAGTTAAGCGGTTTGAGCCAAAGCACCCTTATAAGTCAAACTGGCTATTATATAACTTAACTCCGTTCACATATACCTAGTAAAATTTTACAGCTCCATCATGACAACAATGGACAGTAATAACCCTTGCGGTTCGGGTCCATAAAGATTTGGGTGCTTTGGCTTAAACGGCTTAAGTCATAAAAGTTTTATAAGGTGTATGTCAAGAGAATTTACTGTATTCATTGCCACCCACAAATTTTGAAGTGATCACAGCCTGTGAACAACGATCTCACTTCTTATTGCCACCAGCTGTCGTCACCAACCTGTCAACTGTCATAATTGTTTTGTCACCGTACACTCACATAGCCTCCTTGATTTTAGGCAAATTTACTAGGCGTCTAGATTTCCCATTACAGAAATGAATGGAGATCGTCCTAAAACCGTATAGACGACTATACACCAGTTTTTGGATATTCCGAATTACATCTATATGCGACGAGATATGCAAATCATAATTGTTACATAGCATCTTGATACCGGATCGCTTACCGTGTATGTCTTCACGGTGTTTTAGTGCCATTAAATATATATAAGAGTATAATAGCTCCAATGAGCTCTACTCTATAACAAATCAATAATAATAATAATAATAATATTCCTTTATATAACTACGTACTATCTAGTTACATAATGCATTGATGAAGAGTGTTCGGGTTATAGAACCATGAACACTTATTAAATGATTTTATGATGTTCGACCTTGGTTGTGCTAACCTTCTCATCTGAACATTCGGTTCCCCCATTCCCTGACACGCATGATGAGCCCTTTGGATATTGTTGCAGATTTACTTTAAACCTAATGACAGTTGACAGTTTAGTGGCGACCAGTGGTGGCAATAAGAAGCGAGGTTGTTCAGAGGATGTGATTACGTTAAAATATGTGCACGGAAACGAATGTGTTGTCATTATTAACTGCATATTACCTAGTTAGATAATAAAGAGTGTTCGTATGGGAAGACGAGCACAATCAAGAGTGAACGGCATATCATCGTTAAGCCTGTTTAACTATCAACTTTGCTGAGCTTACGGTATGTTGATAGCGCGTTGCCCTGGAAGAAGGAAGACCTGGATCCCATCTACGGCGTGTTCATTTTTTATATTAAATACTTTAAAAAATTTATAAATAACACTACGCAGCTCCTACGCTGAAGAGTACTTTCTAATATACATGCAGAAATATCATGTTTCACCGGCGAAGAAAGTTCTGTTTACATAACTTTACACCATTTTCTTGTTCATGTTAACATTCTCACAATTCTCCCAAGAACTTTTCGGGGATTTTATTCTATGGTTTTGTTATAAAATGTGGTATCAATGTTAATTCAGCGTATGAATATTTACTATACAATCAACTGTTTCAGTTTTGATTATTATCTTTATTTAATTTAATTTTTGTTTCAGAAAAAAACATGTTTTCATTACAGTTAGTATCCAACGATTATTATCTGTGACTCACATTATTATAAATCGTTATCACACAGTGAAAGATCTATTAAAAATATTGAACTCTTGACTCATGTAAAGGTGTACAACCTTGCATGACAGTTATTACTGCTTATTGGTTTATAATCTTTTAAGTTTCAAGAAGATATACGTATGAGAAATGTATGACTAATAGAATTTCAAAATTAATTGGAAAAATATAGTTCTGTAACTATTCACCGTGTGTACAAAAGATTGTTGTTGGAGATTGGGGCACGTGAAAAAAACGAAATTTAAATGTTAAGTAGTGGCCGACAAATAGTGTTACAAGTGTTAAGTAACTATCGTTTCAAGAGTTTTAATTCTGAAAGAAGTTCTGAAAAACTTGGAGAAATACTTAATGTAAGTTTCGTTCTTGCTACCACAAAATTTGTACAGGAGTTAGAATTTTTTTTCTATTTCCGTATCTAAAACCTTGCTTAGCGTATTTAATGGATGGGGCTAAACGATATTTTAATTATAGTTTCATCATCTGTGGCTTTGGACTCACTAAACACGAGTCGAAGCTATTTTTTTTATTTATTATTTATTTATTCTTGTCACTTTTTGTTATTTCAAACCGGTATCGGACATCGCTCAAGTAAAGTGCACTGATGCCAACATTACTGAAAATGAAGACATTTTCATAGACGTTTTGTTCGAGTACTTGCGTAACTGGATAGTTATGGTTTTAATTTGGAGTCGTAGAAAAAGCAAGTAACACGTTTATAAACTTCTCTAGGCACTCGCTTTGCTCCGCTCGTGATTAAATAAACTCTTGTCTAAAGACGTAAAATTTTTACATCATATACTCTTTCGTTCACTGAGCTGTCAGCTTGGCTTATACTGATAAGAATGAAGCACAAAAATGCCTTTAAAGTACTTTTGTGTTTTTTTTTCCTAAAGGGATAAAATGCTTAAAAAAATAACGTTTAAAGGTTTAGCTTGAAAGTGTTTTAAGTGGGCGTCAACTTTCATTTGGGCGTAAATAAAAAAAAATACAACATATCATTTCCAACACTTTTGAAAATACCGTGGGTTCCTTAATTGTTCAGATCATAGAATGCTGTGCGATTTTGAACATACGTCTTCTCGGTTTCGGATACTTTTGAGATTATGCAATTAAACAAACACATGTGTAATGTTGGTTGCATACTGACAAATCATTTGACCAAGGAAGGTTAGCTCTTGCTTGTTGAAAATTAGAACAACTAGTGAAAGAAAATAACTTCTGCAGATTTGTGAATAAGTTTACTTAAAAGGCGAAAACAAGGTTAAAGAAACTGTTGGAAATGGTATCCATTCTCCTGTATACATAAATTGACACGTCTTTTCATGTTATCAAACACATTTCACATTTTGTAGTGTAGCAGGAGTAATGCGAGCATACTCTTCGGTAATTCTGTTTTTCAGTTCTTCTATGGTTTGATGACCTTGGGCGGTACTCAGCAACTAAATGTAAACTTATCACTCTATCATCAAAGAATTCACATTAAAATTCAAATTGTGTACTGTTGTATGGGCCGTGGCACCGTCATGTTGAAAAAAATTGTCTTGGAGTTCAAATTGAGACAAACTCAGTACCGGAGAGATGAAACCAAGCTTCATCAGAAAAGAATGTTAAATCCAGCAAGTTATCATTATTGAGATGTGCATGTTTAAGAAACCATCTGCAGCAGGCAATACGTCTATTAGAATCAGCCGGCAAAAGTTAGTGATAGGCATGAAGTTAGTACGGGAAAAGGTTGTGCTTTTTATTCATAATTTGATGGCATGTACCCACGGAAAGTCCAACTTTTGCGACAGATGCCTTAATGATGTTGATGGATTATATTCCATGCGTTCTTCAACATCTGTTATGTCTTCATTGGTATACAATGTTGGTCGTCCAGCGCCTTTTTTGTGGTGGACACTACCTGTTTCACGAAATACTCGACAGTGTTTCTAACAACGTTGTAAAAATCAGTAACAATAAAATTAAAGTCTGGAAATTTTTGTTGGAATTCTTGTAAAACAGCACCACTGTTGTAATGCCAATCATGAATGTTTTATGTTCCAGAGAGGAAACCATAGTGTTTTTTTATTTAAAAAAAATTTGAAAGTTTGACGTTTCAAACACTAACGCGGTTGAATGTATCAAAGACAATCAGAAACTGTCAGTTTAACGTCCATAGCCTCCACTGTTCTAAATAATTAATGAACGCACTGTACTATTTTGTTAGTAGTTTTTTACAATGGAAAAAATGACTCATGTTAGTTATGTTAGGCTTTTATCAAGTACCATTAACGATTTTTTTTAACTGAGAATATTCCCGAAATTAAAGTTTCAGCTTTAAGGGTAGTAAGAGTCTTAATTAAAAAGCTGAAAGTATTTTGTGTTTATTTTGTTTATTCTATTTTTCGGAAACCTGTGTTATAGCTTTAAGTCAAATTATTATTACAAATTATTCGCACGTTTCTACCAAACATCTAGTGGTAATAACTTTAGTATAATAAGCAGCTGATTGTTTTGGAGTTCTAGGTCTTTCTGGATCATCGAAGTCGACACTGTACAAGCCAAATTTAACCCTAAAACATTTTTCAGTAAATTTTTTAGCATCTAATTTTATCAAACATTTTACGTGTATCCGTCAGTCCATTCAAAATTATCCATCAGACTCCAAGCTGTATATCTTGTGACATTAACTCCATCTTCCAAAACAGCTTCTAGAATATTGCTGAGATATTCCTAAAAGAAATATTTTAGAATATATTATATATTAACATCTAGTTAGTGTACCGTGTAGTAGTTTATTCTTCGGTCGTCTTCAAGACCACCAGCGTCAGAGTACCCATTTTCCGTGATGAAAATTTCAGGATTCTTGTACGTTTTGCTTACCCAATTCAACACTTTCCTTATCCCCCAAGGGACAACCTATATTATTACGGTTACATACAAAGATCCTATGAATTAAAAAATACTACAGTTTAATATACCTTGAGCCAATCAGATGCTGAAGATTCCCAGCTGTCATCTGTCCAGGTATGAACATTTAAATCACTACCATAACTTATAACGTTTATGTCAGCTTCCTCTTGCCATTCTACATAACTGGTGGAATATTGATTTACCGCTAGAAAATCATAAGTTCCTTGAATGTATTCCAATTCTTCGTCTGTGAATTTTGGAAGCCTTGATTCAGGATAGCCTTGTTCTTCACTTCTTGCGTCAATACGATCAATCATAACTTGTGGATAATTCCCGTTTACAATGGGATTAGCGTACCAGCCGTACTAAAAACGTTTCTCATATACATCAGAAATTACGAGTAATTTACACAACAATACTTACTGTAAATTGAAGTGCCCTCTCTGATGCTTCTAGGTCTTGGTCACTGCCACTGGCTGGTTCAAACCACTCAGTATCTATAACCATTCCAACTCTTCCATTTTGCGTCGCTCTAAATTCTTCATCATAAATATGATACGCTTTAGCGTGAGCTTTCAGCAGAACGTGTGTACATTTGTAATCCGCAACTCCAGACGCTTTTATTCCTGGAGCTTTCTCGCCATCACCGTACCCTTGCATGCAGGTTTGTTTCGGTTCATTGAAAGTCAACCATAATTTTACCAGATCGCCAAGTTCTTCAAATAAGGTTCTAGCATAATATGCATAGTGTTCCTCAAGTTCTGGATTTGGCCATCCACCGATATCTTGCAATATTTCTGGAGTATCCCAATGGAATATAGTGACCAAGGGTTCAATACCATTATCCAGCAATTCTTGAGTAAGGTTTCTGTAATATTCAATACCCACCGGGTTTATCGGTGTCCCAGCTAAACCATGCGGTACAATTCTGGACCAAGATATGGAGTATCGATAGTAATCTACTCCGAGCTCTTTTAGCATAGCAACATCTTCTTTATATTTATGGTAGGAATCACATGCTATGTCTCCGTTGTCATTTTCGTCAACGTATGTAGGTGTTGCGTGTGTTATGTGATCCCAAATGTTTTCACTTTTGTCGTCTTCGTCCCACGCCCCTTCTACTTGGTAAGAGGCAGTTGCAGCTCCAAATTTGAAGTAATCTGGGAAAGTTAAATTTGTAGCAGAAGTAGCTTCTCTGGAAAAACAAGCAGGTAGAATGGAAACATTTTTTTTTTTGAAAATAAACTTACTTCACTACTGCTACTAGCAACAGCGTTGAAATTAAAAACTTGTACGCCATTGTAGAATACGTACTTGTGGTGAAGTGCGGAACGGTACATTATATAGGTATTTCGGCAAGTACATTTAAAGTTGAACATAAGACTGATTTCTATCTTATCTTGGCACAACAAGGTGACTTTCCCAATTTGGAAGTGTCGAATATCATAGTTTTTTTTATGTTTTTGTAGTTATTCTAGAGGAGATATTATTAATTTTTTTTAATCTTTTATATAATATTTTTTAATTCTGACTCCTTTACTGTTGCCGAAATGCATATTTAAGAGCATTTTTCGATACTGATCGAAATGGTGTGTTTATTTTTTATCGTAAATAATTGGATGGCATCAGTATTTTAATTGTCTTGTTGATGGGCTCTTGAATGACACACTATGATTGACAAACATGATTAGATTAGTAGTATGGTTCTTACAGTATGGGAATTTTCCAATCTGGTTTATACTGGGTCACTAAAATCAAAAGATGTACTTGGGAATAAAAACTATAAACAAGCATAAAGGCTTAAGGAGAGAAAAATGTGTTTTCTCACTTTGATTTGGTTCTACTGTTTCTAAAATTGTAGAGTATATGCATTTTGGTGACTTATTAGATTTTTTGTTTTAGTACGCAGTTTGACTAATAAATTATGGAGTTACTAAAACAAACTCCTGGAAGTGGAAAACACCCTTTAAGTAACTGTATTGATGAGGTTTTTACTTCTTCAAACTTCATCTTTACTAAATTAAGAAAAGTAAACACTTTGCAAGTTTAAAATAATATATTGATAAAACACTGCTGTAGGTACGTATTTCGGTACCATCTTCTGGTGGACGACGGTAATATGTTCCGAAATACGTACACTGTTCTATTAATATATTATTTTAAACTCGCATTGTTTACGTTTCTTAATTTAGTGACCCTTTATATATTGCAACCTTATTTTTTTGGTTTTGTTATTTTTGACATTGCGGGTATGCTGACATTGGATGCAACGTGATAATTCATTTTTACTTCAAACGTTATGTGACAATAAGGCACAGACTACATTAGCATTTTCAGAAGGACAGAAAAATGACATCCAAGATTTTCTGGCCGCCACTGTAACTACAATTAATACTTTTCATGAGTTTATAATACTTTAGAGAAGATGCCATTAAAAAAAAAAGTCAAAATTTGGGTATTTAGACGTCGACAAAATACATTAAAAATTGACTGTATTCTTATTTTCAACCAAAGAAGAATCTAAAATCGTAGACAAAACTTAGGCAAGTCATTTGCCTAAAAATTTGTAAGGAGATTTGTATTTTGTAGTAAGCTATACACAGACATGGGTTTTACCATGTTCAATGCACTATGCACATGGTAAAAATTTAGGTTAACACGAGCGACAAAAAATGTTCATGTGTGATTTCGTTCAACGCATGAGTTCCAGAAAAGTTCTCCAAACAAAGCAGATGAAATTGTGTCATAAAACTTTAGATAGAAGATGTTTTCAATATAAATGTAATCATTTTCCATTAAATTGGAAAATCACTAAAAACTTTTTTTGTTTTGTGTGTATTTTATTTTAGTTTAAGTTGAAGATACATCTCGTGTTAGAATTAACAGCATAGGAAAGAGGAGATTTTGAATTTATCGCATTTTAAAATATTGTGAATTTGACAGGACAACTTCTATTTGTTATTCACATGCGTCTAGTAAACATCTGGTTTTGATAACATTAGCGTAATAACCAGCAGACGCTTTGGGTGTTCTTGGTCTGTCGGGGTTGTCAAAGTCCACTTCGTATAGTCCAAGTGTGGTACTACAAGAAAAATAATATTACTATAGTCCTTTTAAGTGTCTATACAATTCACACTTACGTGTAACCTGATCTCCATTCAAAAGTATCTATTAAACTCCACGCAGTGTATCGCGTCACATGTACTCCATCATCCAAAATAGCTTCTAGTAGACTACTCAAATATTCCTAAAGATGACTTAATGGTAAAAACTTAAATAAATTGAACAAAAACTTACTCTGATATAATTTATCCTGTCATCATCATCTAGTCCTCTAGGTCTAGCAAGACCGTTTTCAGTAATAATGATTTCGGGATTGTTGTAAGTTTTACTCAACCAATTAACAGCCTTTCTCATTCCCCATGGTCCGTCAATACCCTGTTCATTGACATTTAAGTCACTCCAGTATCCGACATCATTGACATCAGTTTCTTCCTTCCATGTTACATTGACAGCTCCGTAAATATTCAAGGCAACAAAATCGTGAGTGCCTTTAATGTATTCTAGTTCGTCATCCGTGAATTCAGGAAGCCTAGATATTGTGTAACCTTGTGCTTTGCTTCTTGCGTCGATTCGGTCGATCATTACTTGGGGATAATTACCGTTGACAATTGCATTGGCAAACCATCCGTACTGTAACAAAATTCCATACACTATATAATTTACGTTCTATTTAACATATGTTAGTACAGTGAACTGCAGTGCTCTCTCGGCTGCTTCTTTGTCTTGATCGCTGTCGCTGCCCGGTTCAAACCAAGCGGTGTCAACAACCATACCCATTTTCCCTAAAAGTAAATGACGATCATTAAAAATCAGCCGCGAAATATCTTGTTAACTTTGCAAACCTTGTTGTTCAGCTTTAAATTCCTCCTCAAATAGCCGGTAAGCCCGTGCATGTGCCTTAATCACGGTATGCGTACACCTGTAGTCTGCAATCCCAATGGACCCATAAGCTGGTGCCATCCCTGCAAGACCATAACCATCCAAACATGTCTGCTTAGGTTCGTTAAAAGTCAACCAGAGCTTGACGTTGTCGCCGAAATTTTCGAACAAAATTCTAGCATAATAAGCGAAATGTGCCACTAGTTCTGCGTTGGGCCAGCCGCCAATGTCTTGTAATGTTTGTGGAAGATCCCAGTGGTACATTGTAACCATGGGTTCGATGCCATTGTCCACCAATTCTTGAATAAGTCTCTTGTAATAATCAATTCCAGCTTGATTAATGGGGCTGCCAGCTATTCCTTTGGGGACAATTCTGGCCCAAGAAATAGAAAATCGGTAATAGTGAGCTCCGAGTTCTTTCAGTAGCGCAACATCTTCTTTATACTTGTGGTAAGAATCGGCAGCTACATCACCATTATCATCTTCAGCTATAAAATCTGGATTCGTGTGGCACACATGGTCCCAAATATTTTCACCTTTTCCGTCTTCATTCCAGGCACCTTCAACTTGGTAAGAGGCGGTTGCTGATCCAAATTTAAAGGTTTCAGGGAAAGTGCGATTGTCGACAGAAGCAGAGTTCCTTTACAAATTAATTATATATGTACTTTGAAAAAGTGAGGTCAATACATACTTAAAAAAGACGCAGGTCAAGTACAACACTAGAATTCTTAAATCCATCGTGAGTTGAACTAATATCGTATATTTCCTTAGTCAAGCACTTATTTATATGATTTGCCACTCATTTATTAATCTCTTTTCTTCGATATTTTCAGCTTTTTGAAATCTTATCAAGTATATAAACAAATTGAAAGTGCTAATTTTAACTTCTCAAGGCATGACTAGGGCTTTTATTTGCAAAACAAGTCCTTAATCTGGATGTAGAACGCTTCATCATCAAGTGAAGTATCTGCTTTGCATTTTTTTAAATTGTTGTGTAAAGTATGACATAGGTACGTACTTATGTTTTTTATGTTAGCGTTTCAAGTTTTGTTTACGATTTTATTACAAATTACGGAAATATGAAAACTTGAAAGTCATGTCCTCTTCTGATAATGTTATATTTTTGTTACTTTATTTTTATCAGTAGTATTCTATCCGTGTTATCTACCTGAAATATTTTGTTTAGAAACTGTAACTGATGTCACAGAAAAAACTATTAAAGTAATGCAAATTTTCAATCAAAATTTAAAAGAGTACAATAAAATAAATGTAAAGCAAAAAACAAAGAAAATAAATTCAATAAAAACTATTTATAATACTTATTAACGGCCAGTATTTGAGTGAAATGGAAAGTAAAATAGTTTGAGTGATATAAATGAGTTGAAACAATACCCCCCAATTTCTTAGAATACTTGCGGTTAATGTTCAAGTCCTTAATGCTTGTTCATTTTTTCCAGAATAGGGTTCTTAATTTTAGTTCTCAAAAGAGGCAAATGCAGTTCTATATTACTGTGGCAAATTTATTTATTAAGTGGAATAATTGGTTGAAGTTATCATGTACTTATAGATTATTTCTTCTGTGCTAGTCGCAAACATCAACCAAGCATCTAGTGGCTATTACTTGAGCATAATATTCGGCAGAAGCTTTTGGGGTCCTAGACCTCTCCGGATCTTCGAAGTCGACGTGATATAGACCGAATTTTTCCCTAAAAGTATACGATTTCACAAGCTGCGTTATGGTTATACTTACTTGGTTCTTACGAGTAACCTCGTTGAAATGCAAAACTGTCCATTAAACCCCATGCGGTATATCGCGTTACGTTTACACCATCGTCTAGCATGGCATCCAAAACATTACTAAGATATTCTCTAAAGAAGTTGATTCTTTGATCATCTTGTAAACCACCTTTATCTGAAACACCATTTTCTGTTATAAATATTTCTGGGTTGTTGTAAGTTTTGCTAAGCCAGTTGAGAAGTTTTCTAATACCCCATGGAACTACCTGAAAATTTAAGTTTTAAATAAATGATAAAATTTTTCTGTTGTTGTGTACCCTCAACCACGAGGAGCCTGTCTCCTCCCAAGAATCGTCAATAAACATGTCCACATTCATGTCACTGTCCCAAGAGATGACGTCTATGTCGTATTCTTCTCTTGCTTGCGCGTAGGCGGTTGTATATGTGTTTATAGCAAGAAAGTCGTATGTTCCTTTGATATACTTAATTTCGTCTTCTGTAAATTTTGGAAGTCTGGAGGTGTTGAAACCCTGTTGTTCGCTTCTTTGATCTATTCTTTCGATCATCACCGAAGGATACTTGCCATACGCAATAGGATGCATGTACCAGCCAAACTATGTAAAAAATTTGCGGTATTATTAAGTCATTTCCACTAATTTATACATACTGCAAACTGAAGTGCTCTTTCAGAAGCATCTACATCTGCAGCACTGCCGGTTGCTGGTTCATACCACGATGTGTCAAGAACAATGCCAACGGATCCTATATAAGAATAAATAAAGTATTTTGTAAAACTAAATAAACAAGATATATTTTTTGACGTCGTGTCCGTGCACTGTATTCTAAATTAATGTCACTCTACCAACCCAGTAAACATTCAGTATTCCGAAAGTGCTGATATTCAAGTTTTTATTTTATGTATTAACAAAATAATGACTCCAAATAACTTCAGATATCGTGATTAATACATCATGTAGCATTTACATCAATGGTTATTAATTTACAGAAGACTCGTAGTTGTGTCTTCATTAAAGTTGATACAGAAATATTTTCAATGCTTTTAATCGATGTGGTAAACGATAAATTTGGTAACCTATCTTGCAGTTTTGGGTTATCGCTATTTGCAATTTTTAAAAATAAAACAACACATAACACTGATGAAATACTCAAATTTAACTAGATCCGCATCGATCTTTCAGAAAAAATGTCGGACACCATGACGAGAGGGTTATAAAATTAATTCTTCACTTTTTCCATAGATATTTATTTTTAGTAATATGGTGATATAATATTTACTACTTTTGCGGACCAACTTCTGTTTTCAATCGTTCGACTGAGAGATGTTAGAAATTGGAATAGAAATAGAATTTAGCGCATTTGAGGCTCATAATTAATGCTGGTTTAGTTAAAATAGTTTAAGTTAATGTACATAATTTGTCTTCTAGACACTAAGAATTTGTTAGTCAATTGACACAGTTATTCCAATTGCTCGATGGAATACGAGTAGACATTATAAAAAGCAATAGAAACTTATTTTCAACGATAAACTTTTTGGTCCAACACATTGAAACGATCAAACTATATTTAAAATTTTTTATCCTTTTATAATTATATTATAGTTTATCACTGCAAAGTGTAGGTATCTAAAATCGTAGTGGACTTTCTTAATTTACAGTAGTTTGTCTGTAGACGTGGAAAAAGTTCGTTTAAAATTGGTTGCAAAATTCATCATGGGTTAACTAAGTATAAATATATATATAAAAGCTAACGAATAAATTTTTCTTAAAGTAAGATTTCTAAAAGTATTGGTGAATGGAAATGATTTTGCGCATTCCAGATTGTTGATAAAAACCATTGAAATCCCATTATTTTTTTGTGCTTGTTGTTTTCATGTGTTTCGCTAAATAACAATAAAATAACCTATGATTTACCCTGTTGTTGAGTTCTGAACTCTTCATCATATATGTGGTATGCTTTAGCATGGGCTTTAATTATATTATGGGCACATTTATAATCAGTTAAACCCGAATGATTGTAGCCAGGTGCCATTGTTCCAGTGCCATATCCTTGATAGCAACTCTCTAGGGGTTCATTAAAAGTTGTCCAGTATTTCACCCAATGTCCAAAATTTTGGAAAACAACTCGAACATAATAGGCAAAATGTTCCTCAAATTCTGGGTTAGGAAACCCTCCATATTCTTCAACCGTTTCAGGAAGATCCCAACAGTATATGGTTACGAGTGGCTCAATACCGTTATCCACTAATTCTTGAAGTAAATTTTGGTAGTAAACAATACCAGCTGGATTAACAGGACTACCGGCTATGCCCAAAGGTATTATCCTTGACCAGGATAAAGAAAATCGGTAATAGTTAACACCTAAATGTTTTAACATGACGACATCTTCTTTGTATTTGTGATATGAATCACAAGCTAGATCTGCATTGTCTCCGTTGTCAATATAGTCGGGGTTGGTGTGACAAATGTGGTCCCATATATTTTCTCCTTTACCATCTTCATTCCACGCACCTTCAATCTGGTGTGCCGAGGTTGCTATTCCAAATTTGAAAGAAGCGGGAAACGAACGGTTTGATGCCGTTTCGATTGGTCTTGAAATTGTTTGTATGGTTTTAACCTAAATTAAAAGAACGGAACATACCTTTGCGCAAGGGTAAACAGCATTAATAGCAAGATTAATTTGGCGTTGGAAATCATTTTGATCAATTACGATGTTGTAACAAAAACTGTATGCACAACTGTTATACACAACTTACTTTGCTAATTGTGGTTCTATGCGTTAGCTTAATAATCTTATCGGTTTTAAGTAGTGCCAGAGAACGTGAAGTCAGTTGCATAAAAATGCATTATCGCTCAAAGAAGGTTTAGCAATGACTTTCGTGACTAATCACAAAAGTTAAAAATTTGATAACAAGTAGCAGCTTGATAATAGACTTCTATCAGTAATAACTGTATCAGCTAGGAGTTGTAAATGTAGGGAATATGTTACAGGCGCTCTGTTTGCAAGTTAACTTACTTTATTTTTTGCGACAGTATAAGTTTCAGCGATCGTGAAATTATATCAGTACTCGTGAAGTCAAGTTTTGATAAATTAACTCAATGAATAATCGCGATCAGTTACGTGTATGTGGTTACCTTTTTTTAGCTTACGAAGAAATGGCTAAACCAAATTTAACTAGTTGATGGATAATTTTTAGTAATAATCATATTTTTTTGTTTTTTTTTATTTTTTTTGTCGTTTTATTCTTCACTGAATAAAAGATTGTAGGAATTATTCCGAAATTACTTCACCGATTACTCTACAATTTTAATAAGTGTGTCAAATTTAGATGTTTTTTGGTAATTATTGACGTCAACTGCAATTCTTAAAGATTTCTTGATTCTCGCGACTTTGACCACACAAAACGAAGACTGATCTTCTATCACTTGCAATAACTGATGGTGCAGAACTGCAGACAAAGAAACCTAGAATTTTAATCTAGCGAGGGCGTTTAACCTAAGAATGATAGATGGTGTAATCAAGATTCAATTTTAGCGGACGCAGCCAAGTTTCAGGTGTCATGGAAAAATTCATGGCTGAACCGTGAAGGGATGCAGCCTACCGGAATAGAATAGAAGATGTCTCTATAGTCTGAATATCAGAAAATACGTCCAACTGGGTTTGGAGAATGTTTAGTTGCTAGGACGATGCTAGACTCAGGACAAGAAGTCGTTTCGAGAGTTTAGGAAATTCTTTTGTAACTTCTATCCGGTCTCTAGAGTACCATCTTTCTGTGCAACCTAAGCCTTCCTTGCGCAGAGAGAGAGAGAGCCACTGGGCGTTCCTTTGGTGGCTTCTTATAATACTTGGGTGTGACACCAAGTTTGACGAATGAAAAATAAATTACTTTCCTTTCAATACATGTATACGTTCCATTAAAAAAATGTGCTCAGTAGAACAAAAAGGTACAATAGACTGATAAATAACCAAGTAAGGTGGAAGTGCGAAATAGTTTGTGTGAAAAATAAGTACAAAAATAATGCTAACTGTTTTCTTAGAATAGTAGTCACAAATGTTCAAGATCCTTAACCCTTGTTTAGTTAATTTTAGTTGTTAAAAATGGCAAATAAATCTCTATATCACTATGTAAAATTTATTTATTGATTGCAATAATAAGTAATTTTGCTTCATAATATATTTTAGATTACATCTTCTACTTTAATCACAAACATCAACCAAACATCTAGTGGCAATTACTTGAGCATAATATTCGGCAGAAGCTTTTGGAGTCCTAGACCGCTCAGGATCTTCGAAGTCAACGTGATATAGACCGAATTTTTCTCTAAAAGTATACAATTTTGCAAGCTGCATTATGGATATACCCATTTGGTTCTTACGAGAAACCTCGTTGCCATTCAAAGTTATCCATTAAACTCCACGCGGTATATCGCGTTACGTTGACACCATCGTCTAGCACGGCATCCAAAACATTACTGAGATATTCTCTAAAGAAGTTGATTCTTTGATCATCTTGTAAACCATCTTTATCTGAAACACCATTTTCTGTTATAAATATTTCTGGGTTGTTGTAAGTTTTGCTAAGCCAGTTGAGAAGTTTTCTAATTCCCCATGGAACGACCTAAAATGTGTTAGTTTTAAATAAATCATATATCTTATTGATGTGTACCCTCAACCACGAGGAGCCTGTCTCCTCCCAAGAATCGTCAAGAAACATGTCTACATTCATGTCACTGTCCCAAGAGATGACGTCTATATCGTATTCTTCTCTTGCTTGAGCATAGACCGTTGTATATGTGTTTATAGCAAGAAAGTCGTAGGTTCCTTTAATGTACTCAATTTCGTCTTCTGTAAATTTTGGAAGCCTGGAGGTGTTAAAACCCTGTTGTTCACTTCTTTGGTCTATTCTTTCGACCATCACCGGAGGATAATTTCCAAACGCAATGGGATGCATGTACCAGCCAAACTATGTAAAAAAATTGCGATATTATTAAGTCATTCCCACTTATTTATACATACTGCAAACTGAAGTGCTCTTTCAGAAGCTTCGACATCTGCAGCACCACCGGTTGCTGGTTCATACCAAGATGTATCAAGAACAATGCCAACGGATCCTATATAAGATTAAATAATGTATTTTGTAAAACTAAATAAACAAGATATATTTCTTCACGTAGTATGTGTGCACTGTAGTATAAATTAATGTCACTCTAACAACGCAGCAAATACAATATGAAGAACTTGTTAGTCAATTGACGCAGTCATTTCAGTTGCTCGATGGACTAGACACTAAAAAAAGGCAATAGACAAGCATTACTGCGAGTATAAATTTTCTGGTGCACCACATCGAAACGATTAGAATATATTTAGCTTTTTTTTTATCATTTTATAATCATAATATAGGTTATCATTGCAAAGTGTATGTATCTAAAAACTAGGTACTTCGTGTAAGTGTTGTGTTTATTTTTGAACGTGGTATACTGTCTTAATTTAGAGTAGTTTGTTTGTAGACGTGATAGAAGTTATCTAGGAAATTATGTCTGTTTGAAATTGGTTGCAAAACACATCATTCAGATCCCCAAAATTATCATCTACAGCGGCTAAGAACGCCCACGTTCGACTCTTAAAGTAAGATTCCTAAAAGTGTTGGTGATTGATGAAGTGGAAAAGCTTTTGCGCATTCCAGATTGTTGATAAAAACCATTCAAATCCCATTGTTTTTCAGTACGTGTTGTTTTCATGAAAGTGTTTTGCTTAGTAACAATAAAATAGTCTATGATTTACCTTGTTGTTGAGTTCTGAATTCTTCGTCATATACGTGGTATGCTTTAGCATGCGCTTTAATTATATTATGGGCACATTTATAATCAGTTAAACCTGAATGACTGTAACCAGGTGCCATCGTCCCAGTGCCATATCCTTGATAGCAACTCTCTAGAGGTTCATTGAAAGTTATCCAATATTTCACCAAATGTCCAAAATTTTGGAAGACAACTCGAACATAATAGGCAAAATGTTCCTCAAATTCTGGATTAGGAAACCCTCCATATTCTTCAACTGTTTCAGGAAGATCCCAACAGTATATGGTTACAAGTGGCTCAATATCGTTATCGATTAATTCTTGGAGTAAATTTTGGTAGTAAACAATACCAGCCGGATTAACAGGACTACCGGCTATACCCAAAGGTATTATCCTTGACCAGGATAAAGAAAATCGGTAATAATTAACACCTAAATCTTTTAACATGGCGACATCTTCTTTATATTTGTGATATGAATCGCAAGCTAAATCTGCATTGTCTCCGTTGTCAATATAGTCGGGGTTAGTGTGACAAATGTGGTCCCATATATTTTCTCCTTTACCATCTTCATTCCACGCACCTTCAATCTGGTGCGCCGAGGTTGCTATTCCAAATTTGAAAGAAGCGGGAAACGAACGATTTGATGCTGTTTCGATTGGTCTTGAAATTTTTTGTACGGTTTTAATGTAAATTGAAAGAACGGAACTTACCTTTGCGCAAGGGTAAACAGTATTATTAGCAAAATTAACTTGGTGTTAGAAATCATTTTGATCAATTACGGTGTTGTAATAAAAACTGCATGCACATATTAAAACACAACTTGCTGTGGTAATTGTGTATCTATGCTTTAGCCTAGTAATCTTATCGGTTTTAAGTAGTGCCAGAGAACGTGAAGTTAGTTGTACAAATATGCATTATCGCTTTAAGAAGGTTTAACAACAACTTTCGTCACTAATCACAAAAATTAAAAAGCAGTGTTTTTTGATAACAAGTAGCAGCCTGATAATACATAGACTTCTATCGGTAAGGCGTTTCGTGAGTTTAGGAATTTTTTTTGCAACTTCTATCCGATCGCTAGAGGACCATTCTTTTGTGTAAACTACTTTGTGCATAGAGAGAGCCCCTGGTTCCTCCTTTGGTGGTTTCTTAGATTTGGCTGTGACATCAACTATGAATAATAAATTACTTTTCTTTCTGTACATCTATATGTTCAATATATAATTAACTCAACAGAAAAAAAAATATATCAGACTGATAACTAACCAAGTAAAGTGGAAGCGTCAAATAGTTTGGACAAAAATAAGTACCAATAATACTAACTGCTTCCTTAGAATGGTAGTCATAAATGTTCAAGGTCCTTAACGCTTGTTTACTTAATTTTATTTCTTACAAGTGGCAAATAAATCTCTATATTATTATGTACTCCTAACATTTATTTATTGGTTGCAATCATAAGTTTACTTCTTAATATATTTTAGATTATTTCATCTACTTTAATCACAAACATCAACCAAACATCTAGTGGCAATTACTTGAGCGTAATATTCGGCAGAAGCTTTTGGGGTTCTAGATCTTTCAGGATCTTCGAAGTCGACGTGATATAGACCAAATTTCTCTCTAAAAAATGAAGGCTTTTTAGACTGCGTTATTTTAAGGTATTTGATTCTTACGAGAAACCTCGCACCCATTCAAAATTGTCCATTAAACTCCATGCTGTATATCGCGTTACGTTTACACCATCGTCCAATACAGCATCCAAAACATTACTAAGATATTCTCTAAAGAAATTAATTCGTTGATCATCCTGTAAACCACCTTTATCTGAGACACCATTTTCTGTTATAAATATTTCTGGGTTGTTGTAAGTTTTTTTAAGCCAGTTGAGAAGTTTTCTAATACCCCATGGAACTACCTGAAAATGTAACTTTTAAATAAATCATACATTTTTGCATCGATGTGTACCCTCAACCACGAGGAGCCAGTTTCCTCCCAAGAATCGTCAATAAACATGTCCACATTCATGTCACTATCCCAAGAGATGACGTCTATGTCGTATTCTTCTTTGGCTTGAGCGTAAACAGTTGTGTATGTGTTTATAGCAAGAAAGTCGTATGTTCCTTTAATATACTCAATTTCGTCTTCTGTAAATTTCGGAAGTCTGGAGGTATTGAAACCTTGTTGTTTACTTCTTTGGTCGACTCTATCTATCATCACCGAAGGATAATTGCCATACGCGATGGGATGCATGTACCACCCAAACTATATAAAGTGCTTGCGACATAATTAAGCAATTGGCTATTCATGTAAACCTACTAGAAACTGAAGTGCTCTTTCAGAAGCCTCGACATCCGCAGCACTACCGGTTGCTGGTTCATACCACGATGTGTCAAGGACAATGCCAACGGATCCTATGGAAGATTAAGTAAAGTGTTTTGTTGTGCTAAATGAACAGGGTATGGTCATTTATTTCATGTCACTGTACCCATGCAAAAAAACTTGACTACACGTAGGTACAGATCTTTAAAATCTCTCTTAAAGTGTTGGCTATTGTTGAAAAGAATAACTGAAATCTTTGTATGTTGCAAATGTTGTTTTTTGTAAGAATTTTGTTTAGCAACAGTAAGATACCTTGTTGTTGAGGTCTGAATTCTTCGTCATATATATGATATGCTTTAGCATGAGCTTTAATTATATTGTGGGCACATTTATAATCAGTTAAACCCGAATGACTATAAGCAGGCGCCAACGTCCCAGTGCCATATCCTTGTTGACAACTTTCTAGCGGCTCATTAAAAGTTATCCAATATTTCACCAAATGTCCAAAATTTTGGAAGACAACTCGAACATAATAGGCAAAGTGTTCCTCAAATTCTGGATTAGGAAACCCGCCATACTCTTGAAGTGTTTCAGGATGGTCAAAACAGGATATGGTTACCAATGGTTCAATATTATTATCAACCAACTCTTGGAGTAAATTTTGGTAGTAAAGAATACCCGCCGGATTAACAGGACTATCGGCTATACCAAAGGGAATTATCCTTGACCAAGATAAAGAGAATCGGTAGTAATTAACACCCAAATACTTCAACATGGCGACATCTTTTTTGTATTTGTGGTATGAATCACAAGTTATATCTGCATTATCTCTGTTGTCAATATAGTTAGGGTTAGTGTGACAAATGTGGTCCCATATGTTTTCTCCTTTACCATCTTCATTCCATGCACCTTCTATCTGATGTGCGGATGTCGCTATTCCAAATTTGAAAGAAGCGGGAAATGAACGGTTCGACGCTGTTTCAGTTGGTCTTGAAATTGTTTGTATTGTTGTAACGCAATTTGAGAAAACTAGACTTACCTCTGCGTAAGTGTAAACACCATTAATAGTGTAATTAACTTGACACTGGAAATCATGGTGAAGACTGGTGTTCCAACAAAAACTGTGTGCACATATTAAATTACTACTTCACTCATGTAACTGTGAGCCTATGGCGGTAACTAAGTAATCTTATCGTTTTTAAGTAGTGTCGGAGAGCTTGAAATAAGTAAGTCTAAGAAGGTGTAATGATGGTTTTCGCCTTTAGTAACAGTAATTAAAAATTTACTTTGATAACAGGTAACAGCTTGATAAGAGATAAATCTCTATCGTTGACATCGGTTAACTAATTTATTTTTTTTGACAAAAACAGTTTTTGTTTTATTATAATAAGTGATTTTATTTTTGACTTTACGTAATTTAACTTAAATTTATGTTTACAACAACACTTTCCAGGAATCAATTAACTGTTCTGAAAGAGTCTAACTGTAGTAAATTAAAATATAGACTGACCGGCAAAAAAACCGGCCACCCTGAAAAATTTCGCAAAACCAAGCTTTAAAGATTATTAATTTAACTAGTGATCGTTATTTTATTAAAGAACCATTCACTATTGACACATGAGGTATAAATTAGCAAAAAAAGAAGCCAATTAAACGCAGAATTAAATTTAATTTCACAAAATAACAGAAACTGAGCGACACTTTGAGAGACTCTGTAAGAGTTAACGGAATTATTTTCGCGTGAAAACGTTTATTAATTGCCAAACTTTAAACAAATGATGAAAAACACTGTTTACAACAACAGCCTCCTTTATTGTTTTTTTTTTAAGAAAATATAATAAAATATCCTTGGCTTGTTTCTGTTATTTTGTTAAATTAAATCTCTTGTTTTTTTTTATGCAACTGTTTTACGAGACAAAAATTCTCACAAGTGATGTAATGTATACTAGACGCAAACATTTAGTGCGTTTATGGCTTCACACCAATTTAATTCCCATTATAATTCAGTAGGCCTAACCTACCTGGTAAAAGCACAGGGCAGTATTGTCTCGACTGTCCCTGACAGGTGGCATGGTTTGCATTTGCTAAGTTTTTTGAAGGGTCGGCTATAAAGTACTTTAAACGTCAAAACCATAAACGCACTAAATATTTGCGTCTAGTATAACTATGGATACTATTTATACATGACAATATCATTTCTTAGGTTTTCGGTAAAAGCTGATACTGTAAGATAAAGCGTCGTATATCATATGTGACCGAAATGCCATTATAAGCTCGATAAATCAGACTCTACATTCTCACTCTCTTATAATATAAAATATTATTATTAATGTGTCAAAAGTTATTAATTATTACACTATTCGACAGCAAAATGAATTAATTAATTCTAATTTTCTTATATATACTACGTAAAAATAAAAATATATTATTAAAGCTTCATCTCGAAGCAGATTTCGTCAACAGAGTCACCAGTATATTGCATGTGATAAAATTGACCTTTTTGAACAAGACTAAATAAAGTTTTTGCTTAAATTTATTACAGTTTATTTATTATAAAGCGAAATTTGATAGTACTACAAAATTATATTTTTCTGTTTCGTCTTCTGAATTATTCACAGGTATCTACCAAACATCTTGAGGCGATGACATTTGCGTAGTAGGAGGCAGACGCTTTTGGTGTTCTTGGCCTTTCAGGATTAGCAAAATTGACATTGTACATGCCAAATTTTTCACTAAAAATGTTATTTGTTCCAAAAAATTGACCAATTTTGATTTTCTCACGTACCTATATCCCCGTGCCCATTCAAAATTATCCAGTAAACTCCAAGCAGTATAGCGTGTTACATTTACTCCGTCATCTAAGATAGCCTCTAGAACGTTACTGAGATATTCCTAAAAAATTGTCGCAGCGTTATACAAACGCAAATAAATATGTTACAAGTGGTTTAGAGGTGTGATACTACACCAAGAACTTACTTGGTAGTAGTATATTCTTCGATCATCATCAAGCCCTCCTGTATCTGAAACACCGTTTTCGGTTACGAATATTTCCGGGTGGTTATAAGTTTTGCTGAGCCAGTTGAGGAGATGTCTTAGTCCCCATGGAACGACCTGTAATGTGATGAATATGTAAAACGATGTGTCTGTGTTTCTACTAACCCTGAGCCAAGACGAGGCACTTTGTTCCCAGGTTTCATCAATGAAAGTGTCTACATTTAAATCACTTTCGTAAGAGATTACACTTGGATCAGTTTCTTCTTTAGCTTGCGCATAGGCAGTAGTGTAGGCATTAATTGCAACGTAGTCATAGGTACCTTTAATGTACTCAATTTCTTCTTCTGTAAATTTAGGAAGTCTAGACGTTTCAAAACCTTGTTGTTTACTTCTTTCATCGATTCTTTCAATCATGACGGAAGGATAATTACCATTAGCAACAGCATTGAAGTACCAACCGTACTACAAACGGATATTAACTCTGATTATTTTTAATTTTTAAACGTACATTAAACTGTAAAGCTCTTTCGGCCGCTTCCTGGTCAGCGGGACTATCAGATGCTGGTTCAAACCACATCGTGTCAGGAATCATACCCACATAACCTACAAACGTTCTTCAAAATAGGATATTATAAGACATTTATTTGTTACCTTGTTGTTGTGGTCTAAATTCTTCATCATAAATATGATAAGCCCTGGCATGAGCTTTGATTAAGGTATGAGTACATTTATACTCAGCCAAGCCTGATGATTTATACCCAGGTGCCATAGTCCCGGTGCCATATCCTTGATGACAAGTTTGCAGTGGTTCATTGAACGTACCCCAATATTTTACAGAATCCCCAAAATTTTCAAACACTACCCGAGCATAATAGGCAAAGTGCTCCACAAGCTCTGGGTTAGGAAAACCACCGAATTCTTGAAGTGTTTCTGGGAGATCCCAATGGAATATTGTGACCATGGGTTCAATTCCATTGTCGACTAATTCTTGAATTAAGTTCTTGTAATAGTCGATACCAGCTTGATTAATTGGGCTCCCAGCCAAACCGAGAGGTATTATTCTAGACCAAGATAGAGAAAATCTATAATAGGCGACACCAAGGTCCTTCAATAGGCCAACGTCTTCTTTGTATTTGTGGTAGGAGTCACAAGCGATGTCGCCGTTGTCTCCATTATCGACAAATGTAGGATTTGTGTGACACAAGTGATCCCATATATTTTCACCCTTTCCATCTTCATTCCATGCTCCCTCCACTTGATAGGAAGCTGTAGCTATCCCAAATTTGAAGTAATCCGGGAAAGTTCGATTTGTAGCGGCTGTTGCTTCTCTAAACAATTGCAGTGATGTGTAATCTTAAAAGAAACGAAAATTTGTAACTCACCTGTACAGAAGCACAGACAAAAGTAAGGTTACAAGCAAATTATTAGACATAGTAGCTAAGTGAATAAAATATTGACAGACCGTGTATTATATACCCTCTATAGGCACGATTATCGATCTCATGTTTTAATTTCGTACCGATGCTGTGGCTAGATAATCTTATCTGAATTGTTACTAAAGAATCATGAAGTACATATTCCGAAGATTGCGGTTTATTAAGCGTTGAATTATATAATCTCGGTAATGATCTTAAAGAAAAAACTTTTATTATAAATTGTCGTATAAACAAAAGAATAGCAGGTAATTTTGACCATATGCTATTTGTGGATGCACCTTGACTTAAACGATAAGTGGATATCATTCCATCGATTTCTAGCAAAGGTTGCGAGCAACAGATATATAATCTTAACGTTATTGTTTTTCTGAGTACTACTTTATCACATGATGCCACCAATGGCCGACACAGATATTGTCTATATGTCTTCCGATACGTATTTTTTTTTTTATTTAGTACAAAATGTAGGTAGTAATAATGATGCAGTATTTTTCTTTCCAGGTAAACACAGAGCAGTAATTTTGAAAATGTCGAAGTAGTGGGGAGTACACTAGTTTAGGGTAATGTATAGGCATGTAATAGTAATTTACGCAACTAGTTCGGGATAGCCTGCTTCCCGCATGAACGCTTGTTTGAGGCACGACCGAAGGGAGTGCCGCATTTGCGTGAATGCGGGAAGCAGGCTCACGAACGTGTTGTGTACAATATTTTTTGCGACGAATAAACCTTTAAACTGAAGAGATTAACTGTGAGTTATTTATAAACAACGCCATTGACAGCGCCGTCAACACGTCACAATGTTGACACTACCCGAGTATTTTAAGGTTACCATGGCAACGGGAAGTTAAATGCACGTGTGCGGGAAATTCGACCTCCCGCACTCTGGTGAATGCGCGAAAGCTATCAAAAAAGGTCATGAGTGCAAAAAATTTATGAATTGCTGAACTGTTGTGATTATGTGTATAATAAATAATTACTGTGACCGTAGGGGCTAACATTAACTTGCAAAATATTCAATTTGTCTTCATAATATAGAGGAAATTTTTAGATTAATTTTTTTTATTCCTTTAATCTGATGTATACAAAGACATCTCATTCGGTATTCCAGACAGTTTAAGATTACTGTATTCTTTTCATATATGAAGATCCACTACTGGTTGCTTCATACTGGTAAGACAGTAAATCAAAATTCCAAGAGTGACGAACCTTGGAGTTTTGAAGTGCATCTGAGAGATCCCAATGAAATATTGTTACTTGAGTCAGAAGTCCATTACAGTCAATATAAAAATGTAACTTACCTGTACAACAGGACCGATGAAAAGATGATGAAACAGGGTAGTTCACTGAATAAAATATTTAGCAGATACGTAACTTGTTATTTATAATTTGCAGAGATAATTATTGATTTCTAAGTTGAACGTTCTGATGACCATATTATTGTAGATAATTTTATTTGCGAAAGGTACGACCAAGAAAATCATTTAGTATTATGAAAGCTGCTATTCATTAAGCGTTAAATTGTGTGATTTAAATAATAACCTATAAAAAAGTAAAAACGTTTCTAAGTGTGGTGAACAAGGTCAGGCAAACAAAGGAATAATAGGTAATTTTGGAGATGCATTTTTTGTGAGTTCAACTTGAACTAAACGATTATTAATTATAACATGATCTCTTTTCGGCCAAAATGTTCAATATTACAGTGTGGTATCAGCTCTTAAGGTATATGTGGATAACGACAAAGTCACTAAATTGTCCATTCATATCAAGCCAAGCAAGTGCGCATGTTTAGACCTAGGGTGTAAAGCAGGTAAATAAATACATTTGGCATAAAGCAGAATCATTAATTTAAGGAGTACCCATGCTAGCGTCAAAAGAAAGCGACTTATCAATATACAGAGACCCAATTTGGTACCATGTTCTACCACGCATGTTTTACTACGTAGATACATGCCTTTTTTCAGAATCAAAAGTGAATCGGAACGTCTTCCTTCTTAGGGAAATTCAAAAGATTCCAGAAAACGATCTAGATAATACACCATGTGTTGACTAATTAATAGACAAAGTTGCCAGGTTCAGGGCAAAGTTTCAGTTTACCCGGAACCGGAAGAAAAACTAGAACACCCCTTTCAAAACAAGACGGAGTATTTAGAAGGTTTAAAATAATGTTTTTGAAATTTTAACGGAGATGACCTAACACCCCTGTAGCACGAGTAAGTATTGTCAGCAGAAGGCTAAGAAAATAAGTATGAACTACAGATGCGAAGAAGAAAAGATTAGTCTAATCAGAGACGAGTCTGCATCGAAACGAAACTATGCGGAATCTAAAATCAAAGTCGCCTTTAGAAGCCTCCTTCAAAAATTTGGCCACATCTTTACAAAACAGCAAACTGCGATCATTCCCTTAAAAGCAGATGTGCCATTAGATTTTGCGATTGGTGTTTTATCCACAACACCGTTCACGACATATTAATCAAAACGTTATTCAATTTTTGCCTTGATACAGTGAACATATAGAAGGCACTAAAAGTGGTTACTTTAGATACTAGAACAAATTAACAAATTTGCTCTAGTACAAGAAGTTCTAAAAGTAACGGCTATGAGACAATCGCCCTTTATTTTGTTATTGAATGGTAGTTAGTTTACGTAGAAAGTTAGGCGTTGCTTAAAAGTTGCATGCCAGGTTAGGACAGCAATAAAACTCAAGTCTTTAATTTTTTCTAAACATCCTGTATAAACAACTGTAAAAATAAAAATATATTACTAAGACACGAATACTATTTTTCTTGAAGACTGGAAAAGGTCTCTGTTTTTACAATTTATTGAGCTATAAGGCGAAATTTAAATGTACCTACTATAAAATTACATTTTTCTGTTTCATTTTATGAGTCATTCACAAGTATCTACTAAACATCTTGAAGCGATGACCTGAGCATAGTAGGAAGCAGACGCTTTTGGTGTTCTTGGTCTTCCAGGATTATCAAAATTGACGCTGTACATACCAAATTTTTCACTAAAAATATTACTTGTTTCAAAAAATTCTAGGCTTACGAATTTTGGTTATCTTACGTATACCCTCGTGCCCATTCAAAGTTATCCATTAAACTCCAAGCAGTGTAGCGTGTTACATTTACTCCGTCATCTAAGATAGCCTCTAGAACGTTACTGAGATATTCCTAAAAAATTGTCGTAGCATCATACAAATGTAAATAAGTGTGTTATAAATGGTTTGGAGGTGATTGTGTTACATCAAGGACTTACTTGGTAGAAGTTTATCCTTCGATCATCATCAAGCCCTCCTAAATCTGAAACACCGTTTTCAGTTACGAATATTTCTGGGTGGTTATAAGTTTTGCTGAGCCAGTTGAGGAGATTTCTTAGTCCCCATGGAACGACCTGTAATGTGATGAATATGTAAAATTGTAAGATTGTAATTTGTATTTTTACTAACCCTGAGCCAAGACGAGGCACTTTGTTCCCACGATTCATCAATGAAAGTGTCCACATTTAGATCACTTTCGTAAGAGATTACACTTGGATCAGTTTCTTCTTTAGCTTGAGCATAGACAGTAGTGTAGGCATTAATTGCAAGATAGTCATGTGTCCCTTTAATGTACTCAATTTCTTCTTCTGTAAATTTGGGAAGTCTAGACGTTTCAAAACCTTGTTGTTTACTTCTTTCATCAATTCTTTCAATCATGACGGCAGGATAATTACCATTAACAACAGCGTTAATGTACCAACCGTACTACAAACGAAATATGTTAACTCTTATTATTTGTAATTCTTAAACGTACATTGAACTGTAGCGCTCGTTCGGTAGCTTCTTGGTCAGCATCACTATCGGATGCTGGTTCAAACCAGGTAGTGTCAGCAACAATACCCACATAACCTATAAACATTCTTAAATCTAAGATACTATAAGTTTAGTTCTTACCCTGTTGTTGTGGCCTAAATTCTTCATCATAAATATGATAAGCTTTGGCATGAGCTTTAATTAAGGTGTGAGCACATTTATACTCAGCCAAGCCTGATGATTTATACCCAGGTGCCATAGTTCCAGTGCTGTATCCTTGATGACATGTTTGCAGTGGCTCGTTGAAAGTGGTCCAATATGTTACAGAATCCCCCAAATTTTCAAACACAACTCGAGCATAGTACGCAAAATGCTCCTCGAGTTCTGGGTTAGGAAAACCACCGAATTCTTGAAGTGTTTCTGGAAGATCCCAATGGAATATTGTGACCATGGGTTCAATTCCATTGTCGCCTAATTCTTGAATTAAGCTCTTGTAGTAGTCGATACCAGCTTGATTAACTGGGCTCCCAGCCAAACCGAGAGGTATTATTCTAGACCAAGATAGAGAAAATCTATAATAGTCGACACCAAGGTCTTTTAATAGGGCAACGTCTTCTTTGTATTTGTGGTAGGAGTCACAAGCGATATCGCCGTTGTCTCCATTGTCAACAAATGTAGGATTTGTGTGACACAAGTGATCCCATATGTTTTCACCCTTGCCATCTTCGTTCCATGCTCCCTCCACTTGATAGGAAGCTGTTGCTATTCCAAATTTGAAGTAATCAGGGAAGGTTCGGTTTGTGGCGGCTGTTGCTTCTCTACATGATTGCAGTGATGTGTAATTTTAAAATATTTTAAAATTTGTAACTCACCTGTACACAAGCACAGACAAAAGTATGGTAACAAGTAAATTATTGGACATGGCAATTCAGCGAATGAAATATTTGGTACTCAGTTTGTTATACACAATCTAAAGACTCAATTATCAATCTCTTAAATTAAGTTCTTACTGATGGGTATGCTAGATAATGTTATCTGAAGTGTTACTAAAGAATTCATAGAGTATTCCGAAGATTCGTGTTACTTAAGCGCAAAATTGTGTAATTTCAGCAATTACAAAAAACTGTATAACCCGCGGTGAATGAAAGGTCATACAAACAATAGCATAGCAGGTAATTTTGGCTATATGCTATTTGTGAATCCACCTTGAAATAAACATTATTTATAAGACGACGAGTATAAGTGGGTATTATCCCATCGATTTCTAGCAAAATTGGCGAGCATCAGATATAATCTTAATA